GAATACAAAGAGCAAATGTGGACCATGGTAGAAATTCTCAGAAGACAGAATTTTGGTTCAATAGAAAGAAAAAAAATCCTTCCAATGGATGCTTTCCAAGAAAATAGGGTAGTGAGCCCTCTGTTACCAGGAGCATGTAAACAGAACACCCACCTGCCTCTAATGCCACAAAGAGATTAATTTAAGCATTCAGTGGGTGGCTCATCTAGACAATTCCCACTCTTTGGTTCTATGAAATCCCAGGGAAGGCTGAGAGCACTATGCAGAGAGGAGGAGATTTCGCTCTTGCCTGTCCGTGGAGACTGCAGCCAGGTGCTGAACTGCAGCTGTGCACCCTGGAGACTCACTCCGCTGTTCCATCCCTCAAGCTCCAGGAAGCCCCTGCACCATCAGCCCTTGGGTCAGAAGCTAGAGAGCTGGAAATGAGTATATGGAGAGAGCTGCAGGGAAGGGCAAGACTGAGAAGTTGTGGGCAGCTTGAGATAGAGGGCAGGCCGTGGCCGATTACAGCCCCAGAAGTAGCTTGGGCACGGGGTAAAACAAGGAGAAAATATCAGAAAGTATCCAACAGGGTCCTAGATGGCTTAGTTCTGCTCTGTTTAAGACTAGAAATGCTTGTGTCTGGGCTTGGAGTCAGTCAGTAACGGAAAAGGATATTATCCTGGGCATGATTTGGGGGAACCAAATCTTGCACTTCTGCCCAGAGGTAGAGAGTCGACCCTTAAAACCTCCTCATCCAGCTCTTCCACTCTGAGATACAGAACCCAGGTTGTCTTATGAGGAGACCAGCTTTAGTCTCAGCAATCAGGACAAGGCAATGGCCAGTGCAGAGGAATAGGACCTCCTGTCCATCTTTTGGTGGCGACCCAAGCCCAATCTTGGATGAAAAGATCCTGAATGTAACAGGAAAAGAAACTATCTGCTCAGTGGAAGGCAGCAGGCTCTGAGCCCCAAGGTCCGGTGTCAGCTCCTATTTCACATGAGCGTGTTCACCGGCTGGCCCTGCATGCTGTCACAAGCCTTCAACCTGTAATCCTAAAAGTCCCCTCTAGCCCAAATGCAGTCACTGTTCAGGGAAAGGCAGAAGGAAAGGTTGTCCACACTCTTTCCAGGCCTCATGGAGCTCCTGGAATCACCAACCATGCCTCTGAGTGGAGTTTCTGATACCGGGTTCGCACATGCACACACACACACACACACACACACACACACACACACACACACACACACGCACACGCACACGCACACGCACACGCACACACACGCCTGCTCTGTTACCTAGAGTCACATCTCCACTTCTCACCAAGGTACTGAAGAACAGGGAAAAGTGCATGTGAAAGCAGGTCATCCCACAGCACTCAAAGCAAATCCATGAAGCAATCCTTTCCCAGCCCTCCTCCCCAAACCTCGGTGCCTTAGAAATGGATAGCTTCCTGCCTTTCTTCCTCAATTCTATTTGGTCTGTGCTTCTGAGGGCAGAGAACTGTTGTCATGGAAACCCCTCCTTGGATGCCAGACACCTTCTGTGAAGAAATGGGACTAGGAACAAACTCCAAGATCCTGGATTCTTTCACACCCTGACCTTGGGCCATCTCAATTGTTTTACCCTGTCCATTCTTTCCTGGGGGGCTGACTGGTGGGGGAAGCTGCATATTTGAGGGACTGACTTTGCCTGAATCTTTAGTTGAAGGGCTGATAAGCTGAGGTATGATTTGGGCTATAACTGTAATTTTAACTTCTATGTTAATAATATAAGCCCTCATTAATCCACTGGGATGTTTAAAAGGTCTAATCACTGCCCTCTTATAGGATGAGCCATGGGAGGGGGTCTCTTCCACTCATATATGGGGAAACTGAGTCCCAGAGGAAGAAGCAGAACTTAGGACTCTTGGACAAGGATTTGGGAATACTACTTTTTGCTTTGCCCCAGAGCTGGCCTGGTGGCCTTCCTCCAGAGACAAAACTATCTCATATGGACTATCAAGCTAGAGCACTGAAATTGGCCTATTTCCCCTGGGGCTAACCCTCAGCCTTCTAGGTTTCCAGGGCTCTCTGGAGGACCCTAGTTACTTAGCAGCTTTCAGGTTAGGAAAGGGCCAGGGAGTCTGTTTAGATCATCTGGACCCCAGCTGAGTTTGGGGAAAGGGACGATCAGATTTCAGTTCTTCCCCTTTATTCCAGAAAGGCTCTTATTTGGGGCCCTGCTGTTTACTTGGGAAGATGTACTGAGATGGCACCAGAGAATGTGCATACCTGATACTGACCTCATGAAAAACCCCATGACCTTAGCCATGGAGAGACATTGCAGCAGGATTCTCTCCAGACACCACTGTGTTCTATGCCAGAGCCTGTCCTGACACGGGGTTACTCTTGTATAGGCTCTGGGGTGCCAATCAGCTCTACTATCCCCCTTACTCCTGGTCAGTGTGCCCTCAACCTCATCTTCATACAGGGAAAAGGCTTAGAGTCATCAACTGCCACCCTATTATCTGATGCCAGACAGTGTATTCTGGGGCCTGATGCCACCCTGCCTTGATCTCCTCAGCCAGAGGCAGTACAGCAACCTCTACAGACTTCCTACCTCTCTCCTCCCTCTGAGGGTGAAATTCCTTAGTTCTCTATGGGGGCCTACTCTTTTTTGTTTTGTTTTTCCGAGACAGGGTTTCTCTGTGGCTTTGGAACTAGCTCTTGTAGACCAGGCTGGACTTGAACTCACAGAGATCCGCCTGCCTCTGCCTCACAAGTGCTGGGACTAAAGGCGTGCACCACCACCGCCCGGCTGGGGGCCTACTCTTAAAACTGCTCTCCTGGCCCAGGGCCAGTTCAGACCATCTTCATCAGACCCTTCCACACCTGTGGGCTCACCCTCCTCTTAGGTCTTTCATGGAAGAGCTGTAATTGAGGATTCAGGAGGAAATGCATTCTTCAGCTCTGGCTCAGGCCCTTGCATTTTGGCCCAGCATCTGCCCAGCTAGAAAGGGAGGGGTTCTCTTGTCACCCTATAATAGTTGAGTGGTCTTGTGGAAGTGTGCTTGGGGAAATGACAGCTGAGCAGGAATAAAGCCACCGTAGCTCAGCTTCTCTTCCCATCCTGTCCCTAGTCAGCTCTCTGACCATCTGCCAGAGTGTCTGTGGTGACCCATCTTGAGAAGCAACCAAGAGGCCTTTGATGGACAATTGGGAAGTGCCTTGACTATGGAGGGCTTGATTAGCTAACCCACCCCAAACAGAGGAAGCTCTGACCTTGAAAATGGGGCTGTGCCCTCTAACCTGTCCCTGCCACACTCATCTTCCCCTGTCCCAGTGTGAAGGCCCTTTCTCCCTCAGTCCTCCCACTCTTCCAGGCTATGTTCATTCCAAGAGAGCCTCCTGTTTCAGTCACAATTCCATGACCACCTTCCTCAGAGAGGACTCCCTTCTCAGTCCCTCTCTAGAATACAACCCTCTTGGTGCCCAGTGTTTTGTTTTCCTTATTGTCTATCTAAGCCCACTGAGTGGCAAGCTCCTTGAGGGCAGGGCCTCTGAACAGCTCAACAACAAGCAACAGGGTGGCACTTCTCCCTGGCACTTCTGCATACTCCATCCTATCCCCCTTTTCACTGTCAAATCGAATTTGGGGGGCAGCTTCCTAAATGGACAAGGCTGTTTTCTTCCCTTTGCCCTTGTGCAGTTTCCTGACTGCCTCTGCAAAAGCCATCTGTGTCAGAGGCGGAATCCTTGTTCACCAGACCCTCACCACACCACAGGCGGGGATATCTCAGGAAGACTGCAGCAGTCTGAACAGGTTTCCTTCAGCATTCTCCAGGGGCCTTGGGCCAGCACCAGCTTCTCCCTCCATCCATCCGGTCACTTGGACCGCCACCCTCCTCTCAGCCCCGCCCCTTCACACGCTCATGACACGCCCCTTCCCAGCCCCCAGCAGAGCCCGAAAGGGCCTGCTAGGTACCCAGGAAGACAGGGTCCCTGGTCTTTGGCGCTTGAAGACCCACATCCCATCTGCTGCAACAAGTCTGCACACTCAAGGTGGCTCGCAGCCGACCTCCCGCCGTCCCTGTACTGACGGTGCAAGCTTCCGAGGCACTTCAGCCTCATCAGGCACATCCTCCATGTAGCCCTGTTTGGGGACTGGGGATCTACAGAAAGAAAGCACGGTTCCAGGGCTGGCTCCGGGTTTTTTGCTGGGACTGTTCAGGCTTGGAGAACAATGGAGCAGCTCTCCAGCTTCCTCCACCGAGGAAGCTTTGTTCCTCCCTTCCCGCCAGCTTGGCTTTCATTAGCCAAAGGGCAAAGGCTTCTCGGGGCTCCGCGCAAAAGCCCAGACCTTTCCCTAAAACACTTAGGGGAATGGGGGTGGTGGTTACTTGGGGCTGAGGAAAAGGACGCGCGTATCCAGATGCGCGCAGCTGGCTGCCCGCCCGCCTCCCTGGCCCCAGACACTTCTTGTTGCCAGGTCCCCCACACCCGGGAAATCCGACTCAAGCTTCCACCCGGGATCCACAGAGGAAGTGGAGCCCCAGCTCTGCTCCAAGGACTAACCGGCCCTCACATCTGCTCTCCCCACATCTGTGCTCTAGATTTGGGCTCTTACCAATGCTCTCCTGGAAATGCTGTACGCTGTGTTATCCATCACAGACCACTCCTCACCTAGTGTCTCTACCAGCCTCACAGTGGTTAGCCATATTAGGACTCTGGACTTCAAAATTCAGGGGAGATAATGGTTTCTGAGAACCTAAGTCCCCTGCCCCCATTGTCCACCCTCACATCCGACAGGCCACAGCAGAGCCCAGGCTCCCACCAGCGACATCTTTAAGATAGTCAGTCATTAGCCATACACAAAATGAAGGTAGGTCAGTTCTGCGCATCTGGGCAGTAAGGCCCCTCCTAACCTGGCCAGTGATCAGTATAAGGGGAAAAAGGAGGAAGGTTCGTTTTCCCCACCTCTACCTGCAGCGGGCCAGGAGAAAACCAGGGGCGGGGTGGGGCGGGGCGGCAAGACTCACCCAGCATTTGGCTGAAGAGTAGCTGCTCCAGGTCGCCCAGCACGGTCACCACCAGCTCGGGGTCTACCTTAAGGAAGGCCCGCTCCTCCTGGCCCTTGGCTGAGGGCACCGTCCCTGAGCCCTTTTGCGCCTTAGCCTTGCTGGAAAGCAGCTCATCATCCGATTTGCCATCGTCGCTCACCGCTGCCTCAGGCGCCTTGCTGAGAGGCTTGACCTCTGCATAGGGTCCGCGAGGAATCCGGCTCGGTTTGCCTAGGCTGGGTGCTAGTGGAGCCAGTGGGGTCTTGGCGCCACCCGTAGGGCCGCCTTTGGGCTGGAAGAGCGAATGCTCTGATTTGGACAGTGTCTTAGACATTAGAGGAGTCTCGCGGCCCTTGGGCCCCAATTTGCCCAAACCCTTGGGTGCCTTGGCCATATCATCGCTCCACTCAGGCTCATACAGCTGCAGCTTTTTCTCGGAGTCCGTGAGAAACGAGAGGTTGGTGAGCGACTTCTGTTTGCGCAGGTTGGAGGTCGGCGGCCCACCGGGGACACGGCTGTCCACGCTG